GCGCCAAGGGGGGGGGGGGGGGGGGGGGGGGGGGGGGGGGGGGGGGGGGGGGGGGGGTGGGGGGGGGGGGGGGGGGGGGAAACACCCACCCCACCCCCAAAACTGGACCCCCAGGATCTGGGGTGTCTGGGCCCCCCGGGCGACCTTGCCAAAAGTCCCTGGGCTCGTCTCAGGGCGCTTGGCCGGGTCTTGCGAGCAGACCCCAGGCGATCAAAGCAGTGATCAGAGAGGCCGACGAGAGACCCAAGACCGCACATGAGCTCTCCAAGAAACACCCAGATGGCCTCCAGAGGCGCGCAAGACGGCCCGGGAGGCCCTGCACTGATTCCCAAAACGTAGAAACCTCTGCATTCCTTCAAGGAAACGTACATGTTCAGCACATTCACCGTTCGTATCTCATCAGCGTCTAAAACTGAACTGGCCCCCCCCCACCCCACAAAAAAAACCAAAAATGAAAAACAAAACAATAACAAAAAAAAAAAAACAACAAAAAAAAAAAAAAAAAAAAAAAAAAAAAAAAAAAAAAAAAAAAAAAAAAACGTCCGGCATCGCCCCAAAACGGCCCAACACGCCCCCAAGAGAACCTCTTAACGGCCTGAATGGCCCTAAAACTGCCCCAGGAAGCCCCATATAAGCCAAAAAAAAACCCAACAGGCCCTGACCAGGCCCCCCCAAAACAAAACCAAGAAGGCCGTGGGAGGCCCCCACAAAGGCCAAGGGAAACCAACAAGAGGGCCCACGAAAACCCCGCAAGGTCCCTAGACGGGCCAAGCTCCCCCAACCGGCCCAAAATGGCCCCGGGACGGCTCGAGAGGGCCCCAAGGTTCAAGCCGGCCCACCAGGGCTTCAACAAGGCCAACACGGCGTTTTCCACAAAACTGACCCGAACCCAGAAATCTGTTGCGAACCCGAGATTCGGTGCTTTCCCCAAGAATTATTCAGTTTCGCGTGCCCCGTTGCAAACCGCTGCAACATGACATCCTTGGCTTGGCATTGTTCTGTATGTTGCGGCATTGCTTGACATTGCGTCGGTTTGTTTGGCACAAATTCGCGTGGTTTACAATTCTCTCTCATTGCGAACCGGGGCACGTGAGCCATGAGTGGACAATGTGCAGGCCTACGAAGGCCTTTCGTCGTCATCCACTGCCAAACATCTGTGCAAGCGTGCACGTACACATGAAACCGTAGCCGCTGACCTCTGGATAGCGCTCCTCGGTGCGGCGCAGCCGAAATTCTTCGCCGTCCCCCGACGGCGCCATCTCTTTCCTTCCTCCTGCTCCCCCTCTGGGTCCTTTTCCTCCTCCTCCTCCTGCTGCTCCTCCTCCTCCTCCTCCTCTTCTTCCTCCTCCTCGATTTCTACCGCTCCACAATTCGTTCTCCCCTACATCCTACATCCGTTTCCCTCTCCTCGCTCCCCGAGAGTCCCTCTCCTCCTCTCCTTCGCCTTCCACCTGGCGCCTTTTCGGGAGCCCCCAGAGGCCCGGGAAGGGCCACGGACCGCCCGAACTTTGTCTTTCTTGTTCAGAAAGGGGCCAAATGTTCAAGGCAGGAAAGGGGCCAGATGATCAAGGCCACCAGGAATGGCGCGAACGACCAACATAAGTAAAGCCTCAAGGACCAAGGTGCATGGCGCGATGCGCCAATGCAGCATTGTATATATATATATATATATATACATATATATATATAAGAGAGAGAGAGAGAGAGAGAGAGAGAGAGAGGGAGAGAGAGAGAGAGAGAGAGACAGAGACAGAGACAGAGGGCGCTTGCCTTGGGAACAGTCGGAGGCGCGCTTCCAACCAGCGTTTGGCCCCCCACACACACGCGGCGCCGTCGATCAGAACCAGGGGGGCTCCCCTCCCCCCTAACCCCCCCTCCCCCAACCCCCCCCCGCCCTCGGTGCCGGCGCCGGCGCCGGCGCCGGCGGCGGCCAGAAGCGCCGACGGCGGGAACGCAACGACGATGACCAGAGAGGGCCCAGAGGCCGCAGAAGAAAAACACAAATCGCCATACACACCACCACAACAAGCACCACCACCACGACCAACCACCACACACCCACCCACCACACACACACCACCACACACACCACCACACACCCACCACCACCACCACCACCACCACCACCACCGCCACAACCACCACCACCACCACCACCACCACCACAGCTCACCACCACCACCACCACCTGAACCAAAGCCAAAACACGGTAACGGGATGACCCGACGGCCTCACCACCACCACCACAAACCACCAAACCGAAAGAACCACCGCCACCACCACAACCACCACAACCAGCACAACCCACCACCACCACAACCACCACCATCACCACAAACCACCACAACCAGCACAACCCACCACCACCACCACAACGACCACCACCACCACAAACCACCACACCACCACCACCACCAAAAACGCCACCACCACCACAACCCACCACAACCCACAACAACCACCACGACCACCATCACCACCACAAACCACCACACCACCACCACCACCACCACACCACCAAAACACAACCACCACCATCACCACACCACCGCCACCACCACAACCACCACTCCCACAACCCACCACCACCACCACCACCACCACAAACCACCACACCACCACCACAACCACTACAACCACGACCACCACCACCACCACCACACACCATCACCCACCACACACCACCACCACCACCACCACCAACCACCACCGCACCACCACCACCACCACCACCACCACCACAAAACCCCCACAAACACCACGCCTCCACCACCACCACGCCTCCACCACCACCACCGCCGCCACCACTATCACCAGCACCACCACTACAACTCACCACCACCACCACCACAACAAACCACCTCGCAACCACCACCACCACAGCAACCGCAAACCACCACAACAACCCACCACCACCACCACACCCACAACAACCCACCACCAGTACCACCACCACCACAATTCACCACACCACGACCGCCACCAGCACCACAACCACCACCTCACCACCAGAACAGCCGACCACCACCACCACCACAAACCACCACACCACCACCACCAACAACATCACAGCCCACCTTCAACACCAGCACCACCACCCACCACCACCACTTCCACCGCCCACGCAACCACCACCATAACCACCACCACCACCGCCACCAGCACAACCACCACAACCCACCACCACCACCACCACCACCACCGCAACACACCACCACGCCACCACCACCACCACCACCGCCACCGCCATCACCACCAGCACAACACACCACCACCACCACCACCACAACCAACACCATCACCACAAACCACTACACCACCACCACCACCACCACCACCACGACCACCACCACCACCACCACCAAAAACTCCACCACAACAACAACCCACCACAACCCACCACAACCACCACGACCACCATCACCACCACAAATCACCACACCAATACCACCACTATCACCACCACCACCGCCACCACCACCGCCACAACCCACCACCATCACCACCACCACAACAAACCACCACACCACCGCCACCACCACCACCACCACCACAATAACCACCACCACCACAACCACCGCCACCACCCACCACCCACCCACCACACCACCACAGCCAACCACCACCACACCTCAGAGAGGCCCCAAGACACGTCCAAGAGGCGCCCAGCAGGCTTCACAAATGCCCTTCATATATATATATATATATATATATATATACTATGTGTAAATATGTGAATATATATATATATATATATATGTATACAAGTGGCACGTGTGTGCCCAGGCTCATACAAAAAGCTGAAGGGGCGTTTGAAGCAGGAGTGACATGCAACAGCGAAGTCGCACTCGAGCGCAAGTGGGGTTGCCACACCTTGCGATGTGTGTACCAGGGCCCCCCAGGAGAAGCCTCAGGAGGCCCGACTTGGATACCAGAAGAGGCTCCAGGAGGCCCCAGGATTGTGAGTGTTGTGTGTGTGTGATGTGTGCTTTGTGTGGTGCGTGCTTTTTGTGTGTGGTCGGTGTTGTGTGTGTATGTTATGCTCGTCTAGCGTGTGATGTGTTGGGCGTGATTTGTGTCTCTGTGTGTGCATGTAGTTCTGAAGCCCCAGAAGGCCCCAGGCGGCCTCAGCAGGCCCAGGAGAACTCCAGGAGGCTCCGAGGCGGGGTCTGGGGTACCAGAAGGTCCAGAAAGCCCCAGGAGGCCCCAGGAGGTTCCAGGAGGCCCCCAGGAGGCTCCGAGGAGGGGTCTGGGGCTCGATGTTGGGAGGATGTCTCAGGCGAAACCGCCATTATCTGAGAATCGGGGTCAAAATTATTGAAAGTACCATGTGTTTTTGAAGGTTTTATGTTAAAATGTTGAAATTCCCATGTGTTTTTGGACCTCTCCTTCACGATCTGCGTGAGAGGTGCCACCGATTTTCAGAATTTCGAGGATGTCCCTAGCGAAACGGCCAGAAAAATCAAAAACGGACGCACGCACGGACGCATTAATCCCCTCTGAGCTCTACTCCCTCGGAGAGGTGCGTATGATAATATATATATATATATATATATATATATACATACATATTCACATATATGTATGGGTGTGCGGATGTTCCATTCCCAGGTTTATGTGTATATATATGTGTGTATATATATATATATTGCTGTATGTAACCATGTCGTCTAGTCATTCATGATATGACTTACTGTTCGTGCGACTATGACTGTTATTGTTGACGCTGCTACCACTATCCGTTACCATGCCTGCACAGAATTGGAGTGGTAGCAACTCGTGTGTTGTCTAGGGCCAATCCCCCCCTCCTCCTCTTTTTCCTCCTCCTCCTGCTCCTCCTCCTCTTCCTCCTCTTCCTCCTCCTCCTCCTTTTCCTCCTTTTCCTCCTTCTCCTCTTCCTCCTCCTCCTCCTCCTCTTCCTCCTCCTCCTCCTCCTAATCCTCCTCCTCCTCCATGCACTGCACGCGTGCCTCTGAGCTCGCTCCATGCGAGATCACTTTCCGGCGCTCGCTTCGGCCTCCAGACGGCGAAAATGGCAAGACTGTTTCCAAGGCAGTCAAGATGGAGGAGGAAGAGGAGGAGGAGGAGGAGGAGGAGGAGGAGGAGGACGGCCCCGGAGATCCAGACGTTGCAACCTTTCCGCCCTCGGCGGTTTCGCCCAGTTTGGGGGCCCGTGGCCAGCACAGATCGATCCAGCTCGAAAGATGCCGCAGAAAGCGACGGTCCAGGTCCATGGTCGCACTTCCTGGCGATGTTACAACGTTTTCGCAACGTCGGATCTCAGGGGGGAGAACAAGGCGGAGGTGGCAGAGGGGGAGGGGAAAACAGAACCAAGCAGCATGGAATTTGGAAATCGGGTGGGTTCGATCGGAGTGTACGTCGGATCGGACTGCATTGGCATGGAGTCGAAACCAAACTAAGTTGGCTGCGTCCTGCCAGCATCGGGACGCATCGGATCCGCTTGGAAATCGGAACAAAATCGGATCGAACGGGTCGAAATCGATATCGAATCGGATCGATCAGAGCCATCCAGACCCTGAAAGGTGGCGGAGCTGGCGCCGGAGAGGGCGATGGGAAAGAGGGAGGAACGAGGAAGAAGGGGGGGAAGGAGGAGCTCCTGCCTGCGCGCAGCAGAGGAGCACGCACACACAGCACACGAAAAACTACGGTGTTCGTGTGAGAGCAGCAGGGAGGGCAGCGAACGCAGACTCTGGAAGTAGCGAGCGCGGGCGGTCGCAGCGTGGCCACGCGGGGCGTGACCTGGAATCCATATGGGGAACAAAAGGTGGCATAAGCATGAAAACTCCGAGGACCGCGCGGATTTCTCGGATCGGCGCTGGGGCCCCCCGGCGGCGCCTCCGGCGCCGCCCCCGGCGCGCTCCGCGCGCCAGGGATGGGGGTCCAGCGCCGATCCGAGAAATCCGCGCAGGCCTCCGATGTTTTATGTTTATGTCACTTTTTGTGCCCCTATGGAAGTCGGGTCTGGGGAGCGAGGGGGCGGTGCCACTGGCAGGCGCCCAGGCGCGCCGCGGGGGCGAAGGCCAGCCCTCGAGGAACAGAGCAAGACACGGACGTCTTTGCCCGAAGTTCCGCGCGGGCTTCTGCGAGGGGCGCCTGCCCCCCCCCCCCCCCCGGAGCCTCCGGCGCTGCCCGTGGCGCGCCACGCGCACCGTGGAGAGGGGGTCAAGCTCCGATCCGAGAAATCCGCGCGGGACTTCTGCAAGGGGAGAGGAAAAGAGAGAGAGAGAGAGAAAAACAAAAAAAAAAAAAAAAGGCCGCGCACGTCAGAGGTGCATCGGCAAAGCGGTGCGGCGGGGTCCGCTGCTGGACGCGCGGCAGTGCCACAGTGCGGCGCCATGCCAAAAACGACGACGACCCACAGCCACTCACCGAACGAACCTCCCAGAGTGGGCGTTTGTGTCATCCTCTGTTCCCCGAAGCAGGGGACGGATAGAGCGAGGGCCGGACGGCGCGGGCGCCTGCAGGGCGGCAGCGGAGGGTCACATGCCGACGCCGCGCGCTCGGCCCTGCCACGGCGGGGGCTGAAGCCGAAGCGCTGCCTAGGCTCTCCTCCTCCTCCTCCTCCTCCTCCTCCTCCTCCTCCTCCGCCGATCTCTCTCCGAAGCCTCCTACTCCTCCTCCTATCCCCTCTCATCCTCCTCCGCCCCCCCCCCCCCCCTCAGAATCCCCCCCCCCAGAAAACCCCCCCCCCCCCCCACACCACAAAACACCCATCCCCACCCCCTCCTCCTTCCTCATCCTCCTCCTCCTCCTCCTCACCTCCTCAACCTCCTCTCCTCCTCCTAAGCCTCTCCTACCTCCTCCTCCTCCTCCTCCTACTCCTCATTCTCCTCCGCTCCTCCTCCTCCCCTCCTCCTCCTCCTCACACCTCCTAATCCTCCCTCATCCTACTCCTCCCCTCCTCCTCCTCCCCTCCTCCTCCTCCCATCCCTCCTCCTCCTCCTCCTCCTCCCTCCTCTTCCTCCTCCTCCTCCTCCTCCTCCTCCTCCTCCTCCTCCTCCTCCCTGCGCGTCAAACTCCTGTACGGCGGGTGCCCCGCCCACCCACTGGGGAGCAGGGCTCGACCTGAGCAGCGCTGTCCGCTGTCGTGTCGTGGTCGTTTTTTTGCGTCGTTTTTGTGCGTCGGGGCTGACGGCATGGTGCAACTGGCTCCGGATACGTTCTAAGGACTCCAGCAGGGGGCCACATGCGAACCCTACCCCCACCCCCCACGATTTCTGAGGGGGAGGGTGGGGTTCACTTCGCTCGGGAGCTCCCGAACGAAGCGAACCCCACCTTCCCCCTCAGAAATCGTGGGGGTTAGGGGTAGGGTTCGCATGTGGCCTCGTATCCAGGACATCTGGCGGCCCTCGTTCCTGCAACCCGTGTGGAACGTGAGGTAATCTCCATGGGACATCCTGGACAGCATGGAAATACGAGAACTAAGCATCATCATGGCCTCTGCTCCCGAGCTCTGCTTCTGTTCGGCCTCTGCTGCAGGACGAGGTCGACACGAAGGCTGTGCACGAAATCGGCAAAAAAAACACCTGTCGAGGACCCCAACCCATTTCTCAACGCGAGGAAGACAAAAAGGAGGAGTAGACAGAGGAAGAGGTTGAGAAGAAGGAAGCGAAGGAAGGAGGAGAAGGAGGACAAGAAAGAGGGGGCAGGAGGAGGAGAAGGAGGAGGAGGAAGGGAGCAGGAGATGCTCAGCGCTGCGGATTCAAAACGACAACCAAACACACGGGATGGTTGGGAAAACCACCGTTTCGGTCACGCCCTGCTGCGGAGCGCAGCGCCAGGCGCGGGCCGATCTCTCGATCCCCGCGAGCATCCCGGTGACCAGTGCGACCTCTGCGCCGAGGGGCTTCGCGCGGGGCAGGGCGCAGGGGAGCGGCCGCCAGAGCACGCTGGAAAGGAATGAGATTGAACATGACATGGGAACCTTCGGATTCCTGGAAGGATTCCTGCGGACCCCTCGGGCTGATGAAGGATCCGTCGTCAGCCGCACTGCGCCCGCGCTCCCGGGTCACAGTCCTTGCAGATTGCACGGCGCCCGCGCTCCCAGGGCCACGATCCGTTGGAAGTGCAAGCGCTTGCGCTCCCAGGGCCACCATCACTTGCAAATCGCGTCGCGCCCGCGCTCCAACGGCCAGGCTCCCTGATCAAGTACGCTGCGTCCGCGCTCCCAGGGCTAGTACCCGTCGGAAATGACGTTGTGTCCGCGGCACTGAGAGATCCGTGGAATTTCGTAGGATTCCAGAGATTCTTCAAGATCCCTGCTAATTACTTTGGATTCCTGTGGGTGTCCCGAACGACTCCGGAAGACTCCTGCAGGTTTGCTCCGACTGCTGGAGGACTTGTGAGGGCTCCTGAGGGCTCCTCAAGGTGTCCCAAAGCTTCTAGTGGGCCCCTTCAGATTCTGGAGGATTCCTGCAATTTCTGGAGGACTCGAACACGATCTCCGAACGACTCCTGAAAAGGGTTCCTGCGGGTTGCTGAATGATCCCTTGTAAAATGCGCTGCGTCCGCGCTCCCAGGACGCGATCCTTGCAAATTGCACAGCGCCCGCGCTCCCAGGGCCACGATCCACGGCGCACTCCCAGGGCCACGATCCCCCCCCCAGCGGAAAGTAACCCACTTCTTTGGTGTGCTGTCAAAACACTGGGATCCCCAGAAGTAGTTAAAAGTGTCGCGGCTATGGATCGCACCATGGTGTTTTCAGGTGGCGCCCAGGAGTAATCTCCAAAGTTTTGCGACAGTTTCGCGGATGGAGGGCGGTTCCTTGTCAAGTGTGGCGTTTGCCTTAGCGCTGCACAGATTCGTTTTGCAAATTCACCATAGACTCAAAGATTCGTATGATTGACGGCCCAGAAGAGGTGTCATGGCACGATTTAGGACTGTCAGGGCGCAGCAGTAACGTTAATTCTCGATGTTAAAGTCGCGAGAATGGTGTTCTGGCGCGGAAGAGGATCGTCAGGATCGTCAGCACGCAGCAGTGACGTTGATTCGCGGCGTTGAAGTCCGAGAAATGGAGATTTGGCCGATTCAGGATCGTCAGGACGCAATAGTAACGTTGATTCAGGCATCGAAATCCCAGCAGTGGTGTTTGGCACAGTCGAGGTTCTCCAAACGGATGTGCTCCAATGGGGCATTCCCCACAGTAGAAACTCATCTTTACAGGAAACTATGAAGAGGGAATTTGGAGGGTGGGTGTATTGCAACATCGTTGGTGCGTGTTGGGTTTACTCTGGTTCGCCTTCTCCTCCTCCTCCTGCTCCTTCTCCTCCTCCTCCTCCTCCTCCCCCTCCTCCCTCCCTCCCGCGCAGGCCGACCCCGCCCAGCCCTCCCCGACCGCCCCGACGCCCTGTTCCACCCTTGGGGGCCCGCCGGACCAGTTGGGGGCTGCGAAGTTTGCCAAAACGTCAGGGCAGGCCCTGGGGGGGGGGGGACCGCCCCGTAAGCCCTGGCTGTGTCACGGCTCAGAGGATGGGCCGTTCGGGGTGGAGGCGCCAGCAGGGCATTCGCGCACGTCGTCAGTCCAACTGATCCTGCTCCTCCCCATCCTGCTCCCCACCGCCGTCGCGTTCGACCTTCATCCCTTCCTTGACCGCCTCCGTGCCCCCTGGCACGATGAGGCGTGCTAGGATGCCAAGTGCAGTCTGGAGGAGGAGGAGGAGGAGGAGGAGGAGGAGGAGGAGGAGGAGGAGGAGGAGGGGGAGGGGAAGGCGGAGGAGGAGGAGGAGGAGGAGGAGGATGTCTGAAATCTTCCGAGGGGCCCCCCACGCTCGTCGCACACCCCTGCGCGCACTGCCCAGACGCGCCCCTGGCGCTCTCGGGTGCGCTGGAGATGCCACGGCCACGGCAGGCCACCGAGGCCGCCAGCATGGGCCAAGAGGCGCCCACGACGGCCCCGGAGACCGACGGCCCAGCACGGCTCCAACGAGGGCCTCCAGCAAGGCCCGACCAACATCGCGGATATGCCGCAGGATGTGATACCTTCTTCCGTCGGTTTCCGAACCTCCGTCGACTCGACACGGCCCAAGAAGCCTGCAAGACGGACTCAAGACGGCCCAAGGGGCCTGCAGGACGGACTCAAGACAGCACAGGAGTGTTCCTGGACAGCCCAAGATGGACTTTAAAAAAACACAAACTCGCACTTAAGGTCCTCCGGAATGACCCAAGACGGCCTACAGCCGAAGCCGGTCCCACGATGACCCGTAGAGACTCCCAAGACGTCTACGAGGTCATCCTCCATCAACACCATTAACAGCATCATGACTATCATATTCATCCTTATCGTCATCCTCGTCGTCCTCCTCATCATCATCACTATCATCCAGCACCACCACCATCTATCGCCATCGTGATTATCACGCACATGCAGCCCAAAAAATGACTGGGACGGTGGCGACTCACCGCGGGCAGCTCGATAACTAATTCCTCCCAGTCGCGCCCACGAACGTTTCGGTAGGGCGGACCTGTCGCTTCGCCTGCATCCTCACCATGTACGATACTGAAGCTTGACATCATGTGCAAAAAGTTTCACTGGTGGAGGGCGGGTGGTTTTCAAAATGCTGATCTCGCCATAGCGCCGCGCAAAATCCATTTGACATATTATAACGGCTTCAAGACTGGAAGACATGTTGCTTTCAACCTGATGCTCTCGTTTTAGCGCCGCGCATGTTCGTCTGACATGTTTGCAGCAGTGTCAAGAAGTGTCAAGCACGCAAGGCAGTTCGTTTTCAACACGTGGCGCCCGCCACAATGCCACGCACTAGCGTTTCATTTTCAACATGTGGCTCTCGCCTCATCGCCGCGCACACTCGCCTTGAACATCTGCAACAGTTTCACGGAATCGTGCGGTCACAACCCCAGGAATTGTACTTCTGGCACGAGCCAGGATTGTCATAATTGATTCGCGGAATTGAAGTCACAGGAATGGCGTTCGGGTAGGATTTCGTCAGAACGCAAACGTCATGGATTCGCGGCGTCGAAGTCCCAGGAACTATATTTTGACACCTTTCAGGGTTCTCAAACGGTTGTCTTCCAACGGGGCACTTCCCACAATGGAAACAACAAGTTGTAGGGGTCTATGAAGAGAGAACTTGGAGGGTTGATGGCAATATCGTTGGTAACTGTTGCAATTACATTGGTCCAGGTTCTCATTCTCGTCCTGCTCCTCTTCATCCGCCTCCCGCTCCTCCACGTTTTCCTCCTCATCCCCGCCATCCCTCCCCTTTCTCCAGCTCCTACGTGCTCCCACCCCTCACTATCCTTCCCCAGGCATCCTCCTCGACCTCCTCGTCCTCCTTCTCCTCCTCATCCTCCTCCTTCTCCTCCTTCTCCTCCTCCTTCTCCTCACTATCACCCACCGTTTCCTTCTCCTCCCTTTCCTTCCTCGACACCTTCTCCTCCTCCCTCCTTCTCTTGCGCCTCCTTTCTCCCCCTCCCGCTCCCTCATCATCCCTCCTCCTCCTCCTCCTCATCCTCCTCCTCCTCCTCCTCCTCCTCCTCCTCCTCCTCCTCCTCCCTCCTCCTCCTCCTCCTCCTCCTTTTCCT